TGGAAAATCCCATGGACAGAGGAGTCTGGTGGGCTACAGTCCATGGGGTCACAAAGAGTCGGACAGGACTGAGTGACTAACACTATTACGTATTTACTTAGTGGGATGGATGGAAGGATGGATGGAAGGAAGGATGAACAGAGAGGGGAAGCCATATCCTCTACTAGACTGTGAACAACTAGCAACTATAACTGACTGTATAAAAATACATGGACACTGTTAAATAAAATTCAAACAACCTGTAACAAAAAAATAATGACACTGATTAGGGAGATGTGAACACTGGATATTTTATGTTAACAAATTATTGTTTATTTGTTGAGGTATGGAATGTGTTATAGTTGCATGTTGAAATGTTTAAAAATATAATGATGTCTAGGATTTATTTCAAAATAACCTGGAGCAGAAGGATGGGAGGGGAGACATATGTGAAACAAATTGGCCGTGAGGTGATCATTAGTCTGGGATGATGAATATATGGACGTTTATTTACGTGTGCATGTATTTGAATTTTTCATAGTAAAAAGTTAAATAGTTGAGCCATAAAAAAAAATGGCAAATGGGTAAAAGTAAGTCTCACTCCCATCTCTGAATGCTAAGCTCATTTCCACTTAAAAGGAAAAGCAGAAACTATTAGGAATCTAAAATATACCGAGCACTATTTTAGTTACTGGAGCTAAAGCTGTTAGGAAGCATTTGCATGATAGTGGGAGAAACAGACAATAAGTAAGTCAGCAAAAAAAAAACACATGAGACAGTTTCTGAGAGTGATAGGTGCTATAGAAAAGCAAAACCAGTCCTCCCCAAAAGCAACCAGTGTTCTCAGATAGTGTAGGCATTTAGTAGCACACACATAGACAGCTGTCAGACCTTCAGCAAATATTTAATTAATTGAAGACTGAAAATTCTTCAGTTTCTTTAAAGCCATCAAACGTGGTTGAACACTGGGCACACCAGCTTGTCATCCCCTCTGCGCCTCTGTCTCTCTTACTTCAAAAGCAGCATCTCAGGGAGGTTTGCAGAGCCTCCATTGAGAGGTTTGCAGAGCGGCATGGTGCCTGGCAAGGGGTGTGTGTCGATCGCTCAGTCCTGTCCGACTCATTGTGACCCCACGGACCGTGGCCCACCAGGCTCCTCTGTCCATGGGATTCTCCAGGCAAGAGTACTGGAGTGGGTTTCCACGCCCTCCTCCAGGGGAATCATCAGGACTCAAGGACTGAACCCGTGTCTCTTACATCTCTTGCACTGGCAGGCGGATTCTTTAATGCCACCAGGGAAGACCTGGCATGTGGAGGGCCTTCAACAAATGTTTACCAAAGGAATTCGGGACAGGACAAGAATCACAACAAGGGAAAACCTGTCAGACAAACTTCTCATTAGAGACATCTGGGCACCTGGTGGCCCTGCCCGCAAGTAAGTGATGCCGGGTCCCCGGTGTGGACGGGTGCTCTCTGACCCTGGAAAACAGAAAAGCTTGGTTTACGGTGCCTGCTAGTGGCCTGGGTTGGTTTTGGTTTGGAGAAGTTTGGCGGCGGGGGGGGGGGGTGGTTGCAGAGCCTTATTTCTTTAACCTGCTCCAACTGTTTAAAACACCAGAGCCTTTCAATAATATGTTTGCTCCAAGAATCACCTTTAAGCCTCTCCAGATTCCATAGGACTACTCATGAAATCAGTGGGGGACCTTTTACTTCGCAGTTTTTCCCAAAGGGATTGGCTCTTAGAGGGTCCATTATGCTGTATTAAGTTTGAAGAATGTGTTATTAGCAGTTTTGCTGATTCTGTGGTTATTTTGCTGGGTGGCATTAACAGGAGGAAAGCTACCTGAACACAGTGGCCACCAGATAATGTGGGCCTTGAACTTTACTTCATTTTTAATGGCTTGAGAGAGGCTACAGGTATTTAAATACACCTTTAAAAAAAAAAAAGTTACTGAACGAATTTCAAAAATTGGAGTGAAAAGGAGAAACAAGCTACTGTAAATGGGAATTTATTTACATAGTTCCTAGCATTACTCACAGTCAAGTTAACGCCCTGTTTGTGTACACAGAGCCGGGGAATGTGACAATATTCCTGCTACTAATGCATCCAGGTCATTACATTATGCTTCCTTGGCAGATTACAGCCTTTGAAAGATGGGAAGATCAGTCCAAAAATAGACCTAGAGATCCTTTCTTCAACTTGAGGTCTTGTTGAATTCTTCCTGTCAAGAGTTATTTAAAGGACCCACTTAAAGTCACAGTAGGGTTTAGATTGGGCAGGAGCTCAGAAGTTTCTTTTGAATGCTGTGTGTGCCAAGGCAGTTGTGTATGTTGGAGGGTGTGTAAGTAGGAAAAAGAAAAGAGGCTAGAGAATGTATGCAAGCTTGAAGCTGGAAGGGAAGATCCCAAATCAATGTGAGACACCAAAATCACCGTAGAAACCAGGATCGACTGAAGTACTCAGGCCGCACTCAGGCAGCTCGCCTTAGTCTATAACAAAACACCAACTGGGGGCGTAACCTGCAGACATTTACTCTCTCACAGTTCTGGAGGCTGGAAGTTGGAGCTCAAGGTGCCAGCAGGGTCGGTTCGGGCAAGGGCCCTCTTCCTGGCTTGTCAGTCCCGGAGGCTGGGGAGGCAGACCAGGCAAGACCCTAACCCTTGCAAGCCAAGGTGAGGCATTATTTTATTCGCAGGGTGATGGGAGCCATCTTGGATGTCTAAGCCAGAAAAGAGGTGGTTTTCTTCGTGTGACTTGTACTCTCCGAGTCTGCGTGAAGCCGTCAGTGGACAGAGAAAAGGAGGCGGGAAGGTGCAGAGACAAGGGCTGCGGGTGATGGAGGGAGAAGCGCTCTGGAGGTACTTGGTCCACGAGGACACTTGCGGCCGTAAGGGTGGTAGGAAGCTCTTGGGAGATCTAGTGGTGCTTGACAAGCACTGTTCAGGTGACGAAGGGACTAGGCATTCGGCCAACATTCGGTGGACGGCCCCCAGGTGGGCCATGTGCAGGCGGGTGAAGATGAGTAAGACAAAAACCCCACCCACCCAGCGCTCTCCAGCTAGTCAAGGATGCTGGCAAGGCCACAGAAGACGATGAAGGAGCCTGTTGAGAGCTTTGCGAGAGGTCGTCCTGCAAGAGGAGAAGGACACCGCAGGCTGAGCCCCCAGGAGAGCAGACAGCAGGGAAAGTCTTGTTCACAAAACATGGGGAGCCTGAGCAGACTCCTTGAGGAGCAAGGAGGACGCTGGAGAGTGGAGAGCCGCTGCAGGCGGCAGAGACACGTGCGCGGGTCCTGGGCGGGCCGCCGAGCTGATGAGTGCGGCCGGAGCACTGGACCCCTGTGGGCAGGGGCGCGGTGGGGGGGGGGGGTCTGTGTGCCATTGGGAAGAGGGCAAAGACTGAGATGGGTGTCCCTAGAAAGAGGTGTGAGGGACAATTTGCAAAGAGGACAAAGACAGAGGCAGGCTTCCCAGGTGGCGCTAGTGGTAAAGAACCTGCCTGCCAACACAGGAGACCTAAGAGATGCAGGTTTGATCCCTGGGTCGGGAAGATCCCCTGGAGAAGGAAATGGCAACCCACTCCAGTAGTCTTGTCTGGAGAATCCCATGGACGGAGGAGCCTCGTGGGCTACAGTCCATGGGGTCTCAAAGAGTCAGACATGACTGAAGGGACTTCACGCCTGTGTGCGCACACGCACACGCACACACGCATACACACACTCTGATGCAATAGCCCAGGCACTAATGATAAGTCAATCTGAGGCAAGATTATGAGCTTTATAAAGATAAGACTGCACTAGGGTGGTCTTGGTGGTCCTGTTGTTACGAGTCCACCTTCCAATGCAAGGGATGTGCGTTCAGTCCCTGGTCAGGGAACTGAGATCCCACATACCCTGGGGCCGCTGAGCCCACACACCACAGCTGGAGCCCACGAGCCACAGCTCAGATCCGACCCAAATAAAACAAAAAAGAAACGTTCACAAAATATTTTTAAAACAATAACTTTTTTTAAGAAAGACTGCATGAAAGCCTTTTATTACATTCCTGAGGCCACCAGGTACAACACCACTCACATATTTTTAAAATCATTGTTAAACTGTATGGAGTAAATATAATTGAATATGCTGATACACAAACTGCCCAGTTCTAGATTCAGCATAAGATATTTTACCACCAGAGAGAGGCAAAGAGCTAGGTGCTATCTTTACATATTTATGAGGCCCAAAACAGGTTAATGTATATTCTTGACATCACAGATTTATTTCTATGTTAATTCACTTTCAGAAAGCATGTATAACCATAATATACATGGCGAGAAAGTAATTTTATTCATATGTTTGGACATAAAAAATATCATTATGCAGTCTAATAATCCCAGCTGACAGTCAGAATCATTTTTTTAAAAAAACAGATATATTAAGAAAGAATTCAAGAAAAGCAACAACCCAGCCCTGATGTGGCTCCTCTGTTTTGCCGGGTGGCACTGATTTATACCCGCACGCACAGTCATTTGCAAGTTCATTTCATGATCAATGCCTGGCCGACTTTGCCTTTATACATTATGAAAAGTTGTCTCCACATTTGCATTTGTGCAGGCAGGCCTGCTAAAGAAGTCTGACTGCCTCTACTTTGCAGGAAACAGAGAAAGAAGTTTATCTTTTTTTTTCTGTTTTATTTACTTTTTTTTTAACCATATGATGACAGCCACAGGTATTTGTCTCTGGACAGGCGCCAAATCTCTACTCGGTCATGCCATGCTAAGTCACTTCAGTCTTGTCTGACTCTTTGTGACCCCGTGGACTGTAGCCTTCCAGGCTCCTCTGTCCATGGGATTCTCCAGGCAAGAATACTAGAGTGGGTTGCAATTTCCTTCTCAGAGGATCTTCCTGACCCAAGGATCGAGCCTGCACCTCTTGTGTCTCCTGCAGGTGTGTTCTTTATTACTAGTGTCATGTGGGAAGCCCAAAGTTCTACTATACACCATCTCAAAACTCAGTTGGGGTTGTTTCAGATGCTGAAACGGATATTTTCCAAAAATAGGAAAGGACATTTCTATTCTGTTTGATCATGTTAAGAGATCTTTCTAAAGAGATTTAACCTAGAAGCATGAAAGTCAATCAAGGAACACCTATCCCACTATCTTTACCATGAGCGTGGTCCCAAGCTCAGGCCAGCCTCCAGCCGGCAAGGAGCTGGGGGTGAACCCTGTGCATTTCAGACAGAGCTGAGCTCCTACCTTTCCCTTCATCCCCACTGAACAGAGAGATGAAATGGTTCCACTCTTTGGAACCACAGATAATTGAGAGAATTTTGTAAAATGGCTTTTTTCTGTTTCTTCCTTTTTTCATCCTTGCTTCTCTTTACACCTGAAGCTTAAACGAGTGATGTATGTCGCTGGCTTTCCTTGTGGCCCCTCCTTTTGGATAAGCCTCAGCCTTCTGGCTTGCCTGCCAGAGAAACTGGTTCGACACACCCAGGGGAAAAATGACAGCTTTTCACAGCAAGCTGCTGGGCTCATAAATAGCTCAGGAAGCCTCCACACAGGTCCCAACCTGCCTCTTGCAAGATGTCAGTACAGCCAGCCTGGTAGACATCTTCGGGGAACTTCAGCAACTCTTTACATAACTTTCTGGATAGCAGCTTAATCATGTTTACAACCCAAACAGATCACAGGTGACGTTTCTGCCATTCTAATGCCTACCAGTGAATGACAGCTCACCTTCCTACTGCAGGCTGGGGGCAGGGGGGTCCTCTCTTCTTTCTCAGTGGCCCTGGGGGGCAGGAAAAGAGAAGAAAGGCAGAGTTAACCGGGAGGGAAGGTAGCTTCGTAAAGAATGAGGTGTCCAAAAACCTGGCAAAAGGCCTGTTTTTTTATGCCTTGAGGTAAGAAAGCCAACTGCTTTTCCTGGACCTTGCTGTAAGTTTCACACCGGGTTTTGCACATGTCGGTTCTACTGTGAGCTGTGCGTGTGAGCCCCTAGACAGGAGTGACAAGTAAGTACACAGGAGACATAATTTATTTATAACCGCTGCAAGAACTTAAAGTCATTCGGGGTTTATTTAACTGTTGTGTTGCTCGTGGAAAACGCGTGGCATTCTGGCAAAATACCCCCAAATGCACATGCAAATTCTTTTAAAGCCAAATTTAAACCTGGAAGATACAAACCACTTTTTAATCACATTATTGTTCGGGCTTTCAAAACTAACATATTATTTCCATGTAAGACTATGAAAGAACTAGTGAATGTTAAAGGTATGATGCTGTCCTTTTAGAGGGAAGACTGCCAGGGAAGAAAAGAAGCATATTTTAGGTTAAGTGTGGGGAAGGAAGGAAATAAAAGGGGGGAATAGACTTACTTTGAGATTACAATTTCATTTCAATTTAATACGGTTTTAAGTTTGATTTGTGTGACAAGTCCAATTGTATAACAATAGACACTAAACGTCTTTGGATATGCCATTGCGTGAAAGGACTTTTTACTGGTTACATCTATTTTGTGTATTATTTTTAATAGACATTTCATAGTATTTACTGCAGAAGTCTCTTTGGGGAGATGAGCAATAGAACAATTTCTGTACTTAAGAACCATAAATTCCCTTGTATGTTGAATTAACCTATTGTACGTCTCTGTAATGCTGGGTACAAGGAAGGAAATTTTATTAAGCCAGTTATTATTTCTTTCTGTTTTTCTCTATTCCACTCAGGAGACAGTCTTGAAAAAAAACTCCACTTAGCCTTAACTTGGTCTCAAAAACGTGAAGTGATTACGTGCTTTTGGTATGTTTATTGTTAATAAATAACTTTCCTATAAGGAATGATTAACAGCCATTAGAAGGTAGATAATTATAAACAAATTCTATTTTAATATCTCTTTAGAAATACAAACATGAGTATGAAGACATCTAAAAATGCAATCAATATATAAAAACATAGCTGGAAGGAAGTCTTTTTTCCAAAAGCAAGACATAGTTGCTTATCTACTAAGTTAAACTCCTAAATCCTCCAACAAATGGATAATCCCATATTTCACAGTTTTAGTATTTCATTGTCACATAAAATATGTAAATATCTATTCACATTATTTTGGTGATTTGCACCTATAATGGGAGTCCGATGGGAAAGAAAATGCCATTCTTATTTGTAAAGCAATCCCTGAGTCAGAAGGTCCCCTGGAGAAAGAAATGGCAACCCACTCCAACATTCTTGCCAGGGAAATCCATTGTCAGAGGAGTCTGGCGGGCTACAGCCCATGGGGGTCACAGAAAGAGCCGGACATGACCTAGCAACTGAATAACAACAACAACAAAGACACGGAATGATCTAGAATTAAAGCCGACCTTTGAAACAATTTAAATGTAAAGCTAAATCATTTCTTCACCTACAGTATAAATTTATAAGTTACATAATACCTAACTCATGCCCAAGTTGAGTTTTTTTGCATAAACACTTAATGCTGCTTTCTAGGCACTCTCTTATTCAAGGGTTGGCCTTAAACTCATTTTTCCCCTTGGGTCAGTATTCTTGACCTTTGGAAAAGAACGTTCTGGCTCTACCAGAAGGTAGTTAAAGCTAACTCAGAAGTAAAGAAGAAATCAACATGACACTCCAATGGGAGAAGTATAAAACTATCATAGACAGTTTGACGTCAAATGAAGAGTAAGTCAATACCTCCTGGAAAAATCCATGCCACTTCTTACACAAAGCCCAAACTACCACTAGGACTTTGAGCTAGTTCAACGTAGACATTCTGCCAGACATAATGTATTTGATAAAGCTTCTGGCTTTTTATCTTCAGACTGGTTTGCTATATTAATTCAAAAGTCTCGGGAATATGAGAAACAATGGCAATAATTCAAAATTTTTCATTATCTGTTCTTGGATGTATCTTCATTTGTCATAACTGTTGGGCTATAATAAAGGAACTGCTTCTTCCTTTCCATATAAATTTGGGTTTATTTTTTCCCGGACCTGGTTTCAGTCCTGCGCTACCCAGACCCAGGGGAAAGGTGTGGGCCACATCCCCAGGAAGCCTCAGGCTGATGTAATTGCTACTCACCAACACCCAATACTTAGGTGGCGCTAGGGGTTAAGAACCCGCCTGCCAATGCAGGAGACATAAGAGATGCAAGTCCAATCCTTCTGTTGGGCATGGCAACCCACTCCAGTACCCCTGTCTGGAGAATCCTATGGACAGAGGAACCTGGTGGGACTACAGCCCATGGGGTCACAAAGAGTCAGACACAACTGATACGACTGAGCACGCACTCCCAACACCAGGCCAGTCTTTGTCTCTAGTCTTTCCAGCCTTAGGAACCTTCCTTTTATTTCAACTAGACTCTTGCAATTACCGAAAGGATCAAGGAGAGTTAGACTTTTCCAAATTGAAAGCAGTCACAAGACGATTAAAATCTAAGGGTGAAGATTATTGAAAGCATGGTTTATAATGGAAGCCACTCCTGTAGAAGGAACAAACATCCGACCGTAAGTCAACAGCAGAGTACCTCTAAATATTTATTCCCAGAGTTTTGCGTCCTTCCCTAACCCTCTTTGGTGTTTACCCATCTTCCTCCTAAAGGCCTGGGACTTACCAATTAGGTTAAAAAGACTGCAATCTTATCAGCCTTGCTAAAGCTCTGTTAGCATAATAATGGACCAGAGTTTTAATAAGAGCTGGTCAACATTAGCAAGAGAAAGGGCTGTTTGTCTCGTAAAGGATTCATTCCGAGGGCTGGGAATGGTCACCCCCTCACCCCTACCCACTACTCCGCGGTCCCTCTAGGGAGGAAGGGTTAATGGACGGGAGAGGAAGAGACAGCAGCGAGAGGAGGCACAGGTCAGCCGCGCTCTGGCTCCCCGAGGTGGACCCCAAAAGTGACGGAGAAGGTCGTGGGGTGGGAGGGAGTAAAGATCTTGACTGGGACTAAGCTCCTGGGGGAAATGGAGATCTCACCGGGGTTGAAAACAGCCCCTCGGGGAGACTAGAGTCTAGGAAGTGGAAGGCGAAGTGTTGAAAAGGCAAGCAGCTGCGGCAGCAAAGTCCCGGCTGCAGTGGTCTGTGCACGGCTGGGCCGGAAGTTCTGTCTCAGGAGCCAGCTGATGAGATGACCTCGGCCAGCTGATGAGATGACCTTGGCCAGCTGATGGACACTGGCAGGAAGTCTTGGTAAACCTCCGTGTAGGAGTTCCCCGTGGTCCAGAGGCTAAGAAACCTCTTGCCAATGCAAAGAACACAGGTTCTGTTGCAGCCACGCGCTCCGGGAAACAAACCCAGCAGGACAACGCAGATAGCGGAGTGAAGCTTATTACACCGGCGGGCCCACGGCAGAGTCTGCTCTTAGCCAAGGACCCCGGCCAGTTTTTGTGAAAACGTTATATACCCTAGGTGTATGTGCTCAAGCCCACCTCCCCAAATTCCTTGAAACTAGTCTGGACAAGGTAAAAGAGAGAAACAATCAAAGTTAGCCCATGGTTCATGTGTCATAAGCTTTGACAGTTAAACAGTGGACATTTATCAATAGGCCTGCGGTCATATCCCAATAAACATAATGGAATTTACGACTTTGTTTTGTTACAGAGATAATCAGCATATTCCTTTAGGTGACGGGGAGTCCAAGTCCTGAGGCTCTTTTTTCCGGGGTCTGGTTTCCCGTTGGTATGCCATTCCTGTAGACAGCGGGCTCAAAGTTCAGAGTCCATTGAGAGGGTGACCAGGTATGTAGCCTAATGCTCACAGCCTGGCCTCAGATGGAGTCCAGCTCTGTGTGTTTCCCCCTTCGGCTCCATCCCTGGTCCTGGGAAGACCCCACAGGGCAGCCTAGCCCGGTCACCACAGCTACTGAAGCCCGAGCCCCTCCACAGAGGCGTTCCCGCCCGCCGCACCTAGAGAGGGCCCACACGCGGTAGCCGTGACACAGCGCAGGGGAAAGAATAAATAAATACATATTTTCTAAAACACCTCCATGTACATCCTGATGGGAAGGCCGGGGGCATGAGAAGTCAGTCCTGGAGCTCACCCAGGGCTCCCCCAGGTGCCGCTAGTGGTAAAGAACCTGCTTGCCATTGCAGGAGACATGTGAGATGCAGGTTCAATCCCTGGGCAGGGAAGATCCCCTGGAGAAGGGCTTGGCAACCCACTCCAGTGTTCTTGCCTGAGAATCCCATGGACAGAGGAGCCTGGCGGGCTTCAGTCCGGGGGTCGCAAAGGGTCGGACACGACTGAGTGACTCAGCACAGCGCAGGTGAAGGATAGTGGACGCTGTGTAACTGAGGCGACTTAGCACGCACACAGAGTTCACCGGTCCTCAACCCTCCGACTCTTCCAGGTTAGGATGAAGCAGCAAGGCACGGCCAAAACCGTCTAATCCTTCCTGCAGAAGGAGGGCCTGTGTTCTTCCAGTTTACTCAGCTCCACACAGGCGGGATTTGTGTAAACACAGCTCCCTGGCCTCGCGTTTCCCAAACCTAAAGGAAGTGAATGACTGCATTGAATTCTGTTTCTTTCCCTTGTTTGTTGCTTCACTGCATCGAGTCTGGATCAAAGCCTATGTTTAACATAAATAAAAGTCGATCTGCTAAAATTTTATGAAAAAGGTCGTTAGATTCCTGAAAAATAACCATTCCTTAAACTTGAAATTTTTTGTTTTTTTGATAAACTGCCAGCAGCACTTTGTTTGGATTAGAATTAAGTGTCTGCCAAACTGGAAATTTGTAAAACTCAATCTCAGAAGATTTTTTTTTTTTTTTACAAACTTAGTGTAAGATTTTAAGCAGCTCTTTTCCAGTAACTCACTCAAGCAAAAACTGAGTCTTTTCTACATTAAAATATGGTGGATTTATAAGCCAGTTATGTCCTACAAAGTTGGGGAAGGGAGGAGGAGGAAAGAGAGACAGACCCACTATATTAACCTTATTTTCCTGATACAACTCCTGAGATTCATCACGTTCTAGAATAAGGTGGTTCATGGGGGAATGAAATCAGAGGTGACAGAGTTCTGACAAGTCTATAGTCAGGTTTCCACAGTGGCTCAGTGGTAAAGCACCCACCTGCCAATGCAGGAGACACAGGTTCGATCCCTGGGTTGGGAAGATGCCCTGGAGGAGGACATGGCAACCCGCTCCAGTATTCTTGCCTGGAAAATCCCATGGACAGAGGAGCCTGGCGGGCTGCAGTCCAAGGGTCACAACTGAGCAGGCATGCACAGCCGCGACAATGAGCCCAACGCATCTCTATGCTCCTGGAGTAAGAATGAAGCCAGATGGACTTTGCAGCCCTCCTTGGGAAGGGTCTTCCTGGATGGCAATCAAGAATATCATCACTGGGTCTTCCACTTATGGAGAGCTGCCACATACCAGGCCTTGCTAAGCACTTTCTCAGATATTAACAAACCCTCAAGACCCATTTGAAACACAGGTCTGATCCTATTCCACAGAACAGGAAGCCAAAGTGGAATGGAAAACGGCTCATCCCTCCCAGCTTCCCAGACCCCTAGTCATTCTTGGTTCCATTGCCCTGTTTTTCATTTCTTTCATTCCATCTATCTCTATCTAAAATGATTGAATGTAGTTGTTTGCTTCTGGATTCCCAGACAATGCTTAATAAATATGTATTGAGTGAATGAATGGACTTGCTCAAGGCCCTAAAGCTGTTGGCGCCCAAGATAGAATTTGACCTCTGCTCTATCCAAATCCAAACATAACTACATATTTAAAGTTTTCCTTTTTTAATTTAAAAAAATTACTTAGATACTAATGAAATTATATAATGTCTGGGAGATGCTTCAAAATATTACAGGGGATAGGAGTTGCTTGTAAGTGAAAAAATTGACATTGTGTTGATAATTGATGGTTGAAGCTGGATCATGGATATGTGGGTGAGTACTCAGTTGTGTCTGACTCTGCAACCCCATGGACTCTAGCCTGCCAGGTTCCTTAGCCCATGGGATATCCCAGGCAAGAATATTGGAGTGGGTTGCCATTTCCTTCTCCAAGGGATCTTCCCAACTCAGGGATGGAACCCATGTCTCTTGTGTCTCCTGCATTGGCAGGCAAGTTCTTGATCACTGAGCCACCTGTGAAGCCCCGGGGATGGATAGGTACCGGTTTATTTCAATGCTCTCTCTACTTTAGTATATGCTTGAAATTCTCTGTAATAAAATGTTTAATTTGAAAAACAAAGAGAACTTCAGCACTCATTTTTTTATTTCTGTTCTTTTTCTTCCTGCTACAGTCTTATCTGTTGCTAGTCTAAATGTCATCCTCCTTTTCATCCTATTCTAGCTAAACAATTTTCATTTCCCTTATTGCCTTTATTCCCCATTTCTTTGACTTATGTACAGCAGACAAAAATTTTTACTTTCCCCTGAACAGTTCTACATATAAAACATTGCCATATCCTCATTTCTGACCATTAACAAAAAAACAGGGATTTCATTCCAAAACTGTATATGTGCAAATTAGCAAATTTATATACAACTTTAGTACAATCATTAAATAATGATTTTGCACAAAATTTAAAATTCATGTATGCAAAAAAATTGCAACACAGGAAACATCTGACTCATTGTTATTTAAACTATTAAACATAGCTTGTATCATTATTTACTCTAAACGTTCTCCTGAGTTAAGAAAGCAAGCAGTAACACCTACTCAAAGCAATTATAGGAAATAAGACTAGCTTTAAACATCAAATAAGAGAGAAATTTATTTGTTTATGCTTTTATTCTTCTGATTCCCATCGTCTCTCTAGACCGTGGCGAGCGTTATTGGTTTCTCAGCCTGTTTCCAATCTCTGGTGCTCCTTTGTCAGCTGATCCCAAAAGTTGCTCAGCAGCAACGTTTAGCCCCAAGTGAGATGTTCATCCTCCACCCACTCTCACATCCAAGATAGCTTTGTAAAACCATCAGCCACTGAGATATACGCGCAAGTCCACTCATGTGCCAGGAAAATATTACCGTTTGTTAGAGGGGGCTGAAGCAGTTGGCTTGTCCGTCCCCCAGACCACACATGCATCTTCCCTCCTTGAACATAGACGTGATGACTGGGGCTACAGCACGCACCTTGCAACTATGAGGATGGCATCCAACAAACACAGGGTGATAGAGTGGAAGGAGGTTAAAAAAAAAAAACAACTGTGCATCTAACATCATTACAGGGCATCTTAGTCAATGCCAGCAAACACTAGCTCATATTTTTTTTAGGTCAGTTATTTCAACAGCTATAAAAAAATACATTTTAAACTGATTTAGTTATACAGGCTGAAAATCTTCAACTGCAGATTAATATTAATAGACTTTATAAAGAAAATAAGATCTTAAAATGAGGACGATCCTAAAGAAGATAATATGTACAGACATACAAGAGAATAATTGTGCTCAGATCATAGGTTTCTTCAGTGGCTTCAGTTAACACCTATGGTTTGAGGTGCTAAGGGTATTGGTTTGACAGAAAACAATAAAATTATGTAAAGCAATTATCCTTCAATTAAAAAATTAATTAATTAAAAAAAAATAAATACACAAGTCTCCATTCATTCAAAGGATTGTCATTCAGTATTTGGCTTAGGGTACTAATCTAAACTGTGAATAAGGGGAGTCATTGTGTATTTTTAAAAAAACAAAATTGTGCAGTTGCGTCAGTCGTGTCTGACTCTGTGACCCCATGGACTGTAGCCCGCCAGGCTCCTCTGTCCATGGGATTCTCCAGGCAAGAGTACTGGAGTGAGTTGCCATGCCCCTCTCCGGGGGATCTTCCTGACCCAGGGACTGAACCCACATCTTTTACATCTCCTGTACTGATAGACAGGTTCTTTACCACTAGCACCACCTGGGAAGCAAAAAAGTAAAATTACTTATTGTGAAAAAAAAAAAAATGTAGCACAATGTTTTCACTGTTGGCACCCCATTTCAGCACATCTCTGATCAGTTTCGTGACCATAAAAAGCAGTTACAAGTTCATGATCTTTTTCACTGTTGGAATAATCTTTTTTTTTTTTAACTCCTCTTCTATCTTCTCACACCAAATCCCACCCACTAACACTCCATCTCCAATTTCTAATTTTTCAACCCTAGAAATAATGGGTACCTTATGCCCATCCTATAGCAGTTATTGGGCTTCCCAGGTGGTTCAGTGGTAAAGAATCCATCTACCAACACAGGAGATGCAGGTTTGATCCCTGGGTCAGGAAGATCCCCTGGAGATGAAATGACAACCCGCTCCAGTATTCTTGCTTGGGAAATCCCATGAACAGAGAAGCTTGGAAGGCTACAGTCCATGGGATTGCAAAGAGCTGGATGAGACTGGGGGACTGAGCATGTACTTATATCAGTTTACTCGACACTTCCATTTGCTCAGCAAACGTTCACTGAGCACCTACAACGTGCCACATGCAGTGTGAGGCACCAAGAGTGTAGTGGTGAATGTAGTGGTCTAGATTACAGAGATTCCCAAACTCTCAGACCTAATGCCTGAAGGTCTAAGGCAGAGCTAATAAAATAATAATAGAAATAAAGGACACAATAAATGGAAGGCATTTGAATCATCCTGAAACCATCACCCCCTACCCAGTCCTTGGAAAAAAATATCTTTCACAAAACCAGCTCCTGCTGCCAAAAACCCTGGGGACCACTGGTCTAGAGAAATTCAGACTCTTGCTTAAGTTTCATCTTAGGGTAACTACTAATGCTTTGCATTTTATTTTTATGTAGCTAAAAGAATGTATACAAAGAAAGTATAATTTTTTAAAAATATTTTAAAGTTAGATATTCCAGACTTGCTATTGCAAGTGAATTATTTGCTAGTGACCTTTAGATGCTTGAGTAGAGTGACAAGACCACCTAGGCAAGAATGAAAGTGGTTCTATATGTTTTAAAAACCTACCAAAAAAAAAAAAAAAAAAGATGTGTTTGAGCATTTGGGTTTCTTTCATAGGTTATCAACCACTTAGAAAAAATAACCAGGTCTAGGCAATATACACACACAGAATGTACATAAATGTGTTTCAAAAATATAGACTGTTAGACTTCAAGCAACCTTAAAGATCTGACATATTGGGAAACTGGATCCTAAAAAAGGTTCAATGACATGCTTAAAATTACAAGGCCAGCCCATGTTTAAGATCCAATTATTTCACTCAGAAAGGAGGTTTACTACAGCAGAAGTTAATCAAATTAAATAGTAGAACAAGAGTTCTCAAATCATATCTGGAAATCTGACCCTGACCCTCTGTTTGAAAGAGACACTTACAGAAAAAGGAAATAGAGCTCAGCTTGCTATCAAGGGCAGAGGGGCAGGTACAAGGCCACGAGGTAGTCGGCATGAACCAGGAGACAAGCGGGAAGGACAGAGCTGCTACAAGCTACTGACTTCATCGGACAGCATTTAAAGAAGCAAAGGTAATATTTTTTTCTGATAAGGGAATGTACCTTGTTTCTAAGGCTTGCTTGGGATGGCAAAGATGAAACTCTGTTATCAATGTGGCTGAACAGTCTCTGAATCTTGGAAGCAAACCCAACTGATTTTTAACTTCAGTGTAAGAAAACATCAGAAGCTTGATGGGGAAGGTGATTTATAAGAGCTAAGACTAAAGAGAGGTTACTAATTTGCTTCTGGGTGGCATTTTTAAAAAGGGAAATGCTTCTCTGTTCTTCTCTGTATGATTATCCCTGCTTGGCAATGTAGGCCTGATGTCTGTGAGCAACCATCCGTGGAGGGTCTCATGAGGACTTTCGTACATCTTAGAGGTCTGTGTATTTTGAGGGGAGAGGATTCATCATTTTCTTAGATTCTCAAAAAAGTCTCTGACTCAAGAAAGACCAAAGATTCTATTAACAACATTTGTGACTCCAAACTTGGATTGAAACATGGTCAATGTTGGGACTTCCCTGGTGGTCCAGTGGCTAAGATTCCACATGCTCCCAATGCAAGGGGCTCAGGTTCAATCCCTGGTCAGGGAACTAAATCCCACCAGCCACAACCAAGAGTTCATGGTTCAATGCCACAACTAAAGATCCTGCTTGCCACAACTGAGATCTGGTGCAGCCAAATAAATAAACAAATATTTAAAAGAAAGGGAAGAAACTGCTCTGAATTTTAAAAAAAAAATCAAAACGAAGAAAGATACACAGTCAATGCAAAAATGAGGTCAATGTACATGTGGGCTTCCCCCCCACCCCCTACCCCCTGCTTCTCTGGCTCAGAGTGACCAATAATTTATGCCAAGCGAGTAGAAAAAAAAAATGCACATTTCACTGATTTTATTACCTTTTCCTAAGGGGAGAGCAAAAAGGTGAAAAAAATTAAGTTGTCAACAGGTACAATTTTGTACTTACTTGTAAGAGAACGAGAGTGTAGACAAAATGTAGTGTAGACACTGTAGATAATATCACTGTTTTATCCAGTACCAGCAGCTTCTCCCTCTCAGTACCATTCCTCAGCCCAACCACAGTTGCCTAGGGTGATGTGAGAAAGTGTGTGGAAACCATGATTAATGGTTCTTACTTATCTCCTATTAAAATGCCTAGCGGCCTTTGAATATAGGTGCCTGAAGATTTCAAATTTATTAATTTATTTTTCTTCGAATCAGTATATCCTGACGCTAAATTGCTTTAGCACTTTGCAAAAATCCTATAAAACTAATTTACGAAGTAAGTTGTCTGGCTATTCAAGGCCTGGACACTTCTCTATAAAAGATTCAATATATACTTTTTTTAACTCAGTGCTTTTGTTTTTCCATGTATATGAATCCTTCCCCAAACTGGCAATTTTCTTCTACCTCCTTCATTTCAATATTGTGCATTTGAACTGCGTCATGGGATTGCTTAGCATTATGCTGTCAATGGTTCACAGGAAAAGAGTATATTTAATTTTAAATAGGATGAAAATGACATAGTTCATACTTCTGTTTAGTTTGTGAGAAGGCGAACACATAAAAACAATGAGCACTAAGTAAAATTGATCAGCTTTACATTTATCGTGTGCCCACAATCTGTGGGTGCCCAGGATCTGTGGGTCATAACAACAGTTTTAAAAAAATCAAGCGTCTGTCAGCGGGTGTTCTACGCCAGGCTCTGCGACATGGACCTGGTTGTTGTTTAGTCACTGAGTCATGTCTGACTCTTTGCGACCCCATGGACTGTAGCCCACCAGGCTCCTCTGTCCTTGGGGTTTCCCAGGCAAGAATCCTGGAGTGGGTTGCCATGCCATCCTCGAGGGGTTCTTCCAGACCCAAGGATTGAACCCTTGTCTCTTGGGTCTCCTGCATTGGCATATGGGTTCTTTACCACTATTGCCACATCATCTTCCACTACCAAATCACCATTGAGGGCAGCAAAGAACTGAGAATCTGAAAATGCACAGGGGAGATCTTTAAGACAGAAGCATGACCACTAGAGGAAAAAAAAAGACCAAAAATCTGTTTCCCCTCCTCCTCTCCAGCCACTCTGTTTTTCCCCGGAGATGTGGACGGCGGTGTCGGGGAGGAGATCACCGTGAAGCTGCGCATCTCTCCGTGGTCCGAGGCGCGGGTGCAGCTCTCCACCTCTGAACTCTGGCTGGACGCTGCACAGAGGTGCCAGGATGCCTCACCGAGGAAAGGGTATGCCAGCCTTCCAGACTGATAAGAGGAAAGTAAGCAGCATCCATTTCAGAAGGAAACTTGTCGTCACAAGGTCTTCGGACCATGTTCACTGAACAATGATGGGTAAAGTGTCAAAAAAATCCTTGCCTGAATTTTCATTTCTCTTGGATTTTCCAAATGTGTCTTCAGAGGTTCTTCCACCACACTTGCTTTCAGGAACAAACCCGTGGGAGGAGGTGAGGGCTCAGGGCAGAAAGTGGCCGGGGGGCTCCTTGGGTTCACAAACATCTTCCTCTCTGCTGCCATCCAGGAATTCATTAGGATGGAGGACCATTCCTATGCCCTAAAGCTTTGGATCTTTGGGGATCTTCAGCTTATTTTCAAAGGCTTAGCGAGCCCTAGAATATGGTCATGAAAATTGCTCATCCAAGAGTCTGGATACTAGAGAAAGTTCGAAAATTGTTTACCAAGGACTTTGTTAATGGTGACTCAGTTTACTAATCATGACATCATCATAATTTTTAAAGCATTGCTGTAAATGTGAGGCAATTTGCATTAATAAAATTATCTGCCTGGTTGCAAATTACAGCTGGTGGCATCGATACGGACTAACCCAGACCACCATAGACATGGGTTGTAAGGAATACACCGTGACTGAGTTCATCAGGGGTTTCATCAGAAAAAAAATCTCATACATTTCATGAAACAAAGACTACTATTTCTGAGGAGATTCTATTCAAGAGGAACAGGCTACAAAGACATTTGGCAAGGAAAATGTTTAGCAAGGATACAAAGGTAGCACTAATGGGCATTTTCTCAAAAACTACTATGTTATTGTTATGTATGATTTGGGATCCTTTTACAACTCAACATCTCTTAGGGGAAAAAAAAAAGTGAATGTGTTGGGGGACATCACCATAAAGTCCAAGGGCCAGAAAACCTCAGATATGGCTAAGTCTAGGCACTCAAAAATGTTAACTCAAGTTCATGTGGACGACGCACAGTGAGGCCAAGCAAACTGAGCCATCAGTCTGGAGCAGAGAAAGGTGGTTCACGCCTAAAAAGCCAGAACTCCCCGAAGGGTTTTGAGCAAACCACTTTTAAAAACCAGGTGAGGGAGGGGAGTCGACAGGCGCCCAACTCTCCGCAGGACTGACGGTGAGGTGGCAGGTGGGGTCACAGGGGTCAGCCGTCCTTAGGCTCCAGGAGGTCTGGGGCTCCGTGCTCAGGGTCTTCAGGGAGTGAGCATCATCCATCTGTTGGAAAGGAGGAGGTTTTTTACATCTGCAAAACAACTCAGAAAATCTACATCAAATGCTATTGTCTAGGTACTTTAGGGGGGCAAGGGCGGTCCCCAGAAGGCCCCAGGGGTCTGGCTCCGTTACCAGATGATTCTCTCAGGAACCTGACTCCATTACTCTCAGCTCATCTTTTCCCTTCTCTGGCTCTGTTCTCAAGCAGTTCTCTCTCTAATCGTAGTAAAGACAGCTGCCAGCCTGGCCTCCTGCCTGTTAAACCACCGTCACATGAAGAGGATGGGCTCCCCAGGTGGCATCAGTGGTAAAGAACCCGCCTGCCAATGCAGGAGACGTAAGAGACTGGGGTTCAGTCCCTGTTGGGGAAGACCCCCTGGAGGAGGACACGGCAAAACACTGCAGTGTTCTTGCCTAGAGCATCCCATGGACAGAGGAGCCTGGCGGGCTACAGTCCACGGGGTTGCAAAGAGCTGGACACAGCAGAAATGATTTAGCAGGAACACACACAAGGAAGAGGATGCCTCTGGAGCTCACTGGCCTATTTTGGGTCATGTGATCAGTTCACAGCTAGTCACTGCGGACCATTTTGAGACCTTGTTCTCATGGACCGGGGTGGGTACCTCAGGACCCACACGATGGGCTCAGCCTCACTTTCACCTGTGAAGTAGCTCTCTAGAGTGGTCATAACTAAGTACCGCAGGCTGACTGGATTGAACAGCAGACGCTTATTTCTCACAGTTCTGGAGGCTGAGAAGTTCAAGGTCAAGCTGTCAGCAAGGTGGTTTCTTTGGAAACCTCCCTCCTTGGCTTGTAGGTGACTCTACGTCCAGTGTCTTTATATATACACCGTGACTGAGTTCATCAGGGGTTTCATCAGAAAAAAAATCTCATACATTTCATGAAACAAAGACTACTATTTCTGAGGAGATTCTATTCAAGAGGAACAGGCTACACAGACATTTGGCAAGGAAAATGTTTAGCAAGGATACAAAGGTAGCACTAATGGGCATTTTCTCAAAAACTACTATGTTATTGTTATGTATGATTTGGGATCCTTTTACAACTCAACATCTCTTAGGGGAAAAAAAAAAGTGAATGTGTTGGGGGACATCACCATAAAGTCCAAGGGCCAGAAAACCTCAGATAGGGATAGGTCTAGGCACTCAAAAATGTTAACTCAAGTTCATGTGGACGACGCACAGTGAGGCCAAGCAAACTGAGCCATCAGTCTGGAGCAGAGAAAGGTGGTTCACGCCTAAAAAGCCAGAACTCCCCGAAGGGTTTTGAGCAAACCACTTTTAAAAACCAGGTGAGGGAGGGGAGTCGACAGGCGCCCAACTCTCCGCAGGACTGACGGTGAGGTGGCAGGTGGGGTCACAGGGGTCAGCCGTCCTTAGGCTCCAGGAGGTCTGGGGCTCCGTGCTCAGGGTCTTCAGGGAGTGAGCATCATCCATCTGTTGGGAAGGAGGAGGTTTTTTACATCTGCAAAACAACTCAGAAAATCTACATCAAATGCTATTGTCTAGGTACTTTAGGGGGGCAAGGGCGGTCCCCAGAAGGCCCCAGGGGTCTGGCTCCGTTACCAGATGATTCTCTCAGGAACCTGACTCCATTACTCTCAGCTCATCTTTTCCCTTCTCTGGCTCTGTTCTCAAGCAGTTCTCTCTCTAATCGTAGTAAAGACAGCTGCCAGCCTGGCCTCCTGCCTGTTAAACCACCGTCACATGAAGAGGATGGGCTCCCCAGGTGGCATCAGTGGTAAAGAACCCGCCTGCCAATGCAGGAGACGTAAGAGACTGGGGTTCAGTCCCTGTTGGGGAAGACCCCCTGGAGGAGGACACGGCAAAACACTGCAGTGTTCTTGCCTAGAGCATCCCATGGACAGAGGAGCCTGGCGGGCTACAGTCCACAGGGTTGCAAAGAGCTGGACACAGCAGAAATGATTTAGCAGGAACACACACAAGGAAGAGGATGCCTCTGGAGCTCACTGGCCTATTTTGGGTCATGTGATCAGTTCACAGCTAGTCACTGCGGACCATTTTGAGACCTTGTTCTCATGGACCGGGGTGGGTACCTCAGGACCCACACGATGGGCTCAGCCTCACTTTCACCTGTGAAGTAGCTCTCTAGAGTGGTCATAACTAAGTACCGCAGGCTGACTGGATTGAACAGCAGACGCTTATTTCTCACAGTTCTGGAGGCTGAGAAGTTCAAGGTCAAGCTGTCAGCAAGGTGGTTTCTTTGGAAACCTCCCTCCTTGGCTTGTAGGTGACTCTACGTCCAGTGTCTTTATATGGCTTCTCCGTCTTTGTCTAAGTCCTAATCTCTTCTCATAAACACCCTAGTCAGATAAGGGCCACCTGATGTGAAGAGCTGACTCATTTGAAAAGACCCTGATGCTGGGAAAGATCGAGGGCAGGAGGAGAAGGGGACAACAGAGGATGAGACGGTTGGATGGCATCACTGACTCAATGGACATGAATTTGAGTAAACTCGGGATTTGGTGATGGACAGGGAAGCCTGGCATGCTGCATGGGATCGCAAAAAGTTGGACACAACTGAGGGACTAAACTGAACTGATATAAGGGCCCACCCGTTTGACCTCATAGTCTCTTAATCACCTCTTTAAAGGGCCCTATCTTGAAACATCGTCACATTCTGGAATACCCTAGAATTAGGATTTAAACATACACATTGCGAGGGTGGGGGGCGCACTTCAGCCTTATAAATTGAATTTTCTAAGAAAATTTTGAGGCTGTTATCAGCAGAAAAGGAAATCAATGCTATCAGGCACAAACAACCTGTCTGCTCAACACCTCCAGCCTCTGCAGACACTCTTCCCAGCAAATCCTGTCGTGAATTTGCTACAACTTGATTCGAGATGGCAATATTTCCAGTCCTTGAGGAATGCCCCCACTTGGAAGGTTTGCTGTTGTTGTTTAGTCACTAAGGCATATCCGACTCTTTGCAACCCCAAGGACTGTAGCCGCCAGGTTCTTCTGTCCATGGGATTCCCAGACAAGAATACTGCAGTGGGTTTCCATTTCCTACTTGGAAGTTTACCACCCTGGTTAATAGTACTGGAAAACAATAGTAAAGCTTTCAAACCAGGTTCCCTAAGTGTGTTTCATTAAATGTTCAATGATTGGGCATTTAGATAGATATTACTGGGGGAAAGACTTTTGTTTTAGAAATTATCAAATGCAAATTAGCCAAGTTTCTAGACCACAGAACTTTCCAGAGCCTTTCAATATGCTAATAATTATTGTGAATCCCCAAGAATGAGGGTGGTGTCTGCAACATTTATGGTTCCTCCAAACACACATTAGGGAATGCTTCCTTATAAAATTGCCAGCCACACAGCTGGACTTAAAAGCTAAGAGGTGAGTTTGGGGCGGAAGCAGGACAAAGAAACGTCTGGACCTTTGGAAATGGACCTCTGCCAGTTCTAGAGAGCTTCAGGTACCCTAACCAGCTCAATATCAGCTGACTAGTAGTGGGAGGTTAGAGCTGAAGGCATGCCACTGAGGCTGGCAGCAGCAGGAAAACTAACCAGGGCAGAGGGGAAAGAGAAGAAGCTATCATCCAGATCACCAAATTCAAGAGCTGCAGAGAAATCAAGCATGAACTGGGTGCTCAGTTCCTAAGGAGCCAATCTACCCAATCGTGGGTGGCGGGGAGAGTTCCATGGTGAGATTTCCTGAACATCTTTTGAGTGTCTGAGTCAAGAACCACGGAGATTCATTCATCTTAGCTAATGGTTATGGATATCAATCTGGGGCCATCTAGGCAAGGGGTGCTGATCCAAGTTCCAGTTCGAGAACTGGAGTAGGAGCCAGGATCTGGGGAGAAAGCAGGGAGACCACCTGACCATGTTCAGTAGAAGTTTAACCTGGGGTGACGAGGGACTGATATTCACATAGTGTTCAAGATTCCAGATCCGTTTCAGGGGAGCAGCAGATTTTAGGCAAATTTACTAGCAGGGGAGAAAAAACTGCCATCAGACTAGCAAGCTGGCTGCTCCCCGCGCCTTCTCAGCTCAAACTGCTGCACGGACACCACCAACTGCAATGCCCCTGTCCTTCCCGCTCCAACCGGAAGGCTTTTCTTACCCCCACTGAGCACTACTGCGACCTCCTTTTTCTCAAACTGTCCCTCTTTTCATGTTTTACCTGGGTAAACCCAGCTGGTTACTTAAGATCCAGCTCAGGCAAGACCTTCTTAGGGAAGACATTCTTGCC